TGTAATACAATTAGTTAGGTACCCCAAAAGTGTTGATTTTGGCTTGACCGTACGGACTGGTATTTTTGGTTTATTTATAGGATGGACAAAATAATTTTAAATAGCATTTAAACATTTCATTAGAATTATAATATATTTCCTAAAGAAAATTAAATTAGATATTTTCTTGGAAAATAGACCCGTAACACATTTGGTACGGACCACTCAGTATTTTCAAATTAACACACAAACACAGAATATTGCCTAAGATTCTAGTAACCTTCACGTATCGGGACGAACGTTCTACAATAAGATGTTACCTTGATTCCTATTAATCATTTCTTAGGTGTATTAGTCAATTAACCATGACGAATTGTAATGCTTTTTGCCCTAAGGAAGCATTAATAATTCAAACTTAGCAGGTGAGAGCCCAATTAAAATTTGAATAACAAAAACAAATTTGCATGTTAAAAAAACGAACACACACGTCATATCGAATACATTTTCGTGACCAACGGCCAAAAAGGGGTCTCAAGATTATTAAACTTAAGAGCTAATGTAAATATAATCTCTTCCTTGCTTCTACACCAAACATTATTATTAGATCCCCGGTGCGTGGGTGTACTTTTAATGATATAATAGGTAAATTGGTTGATTGTATGGAATTTGACGAAAATAATTTTGAAGATTGATAATGACTATGTCATACTTAGTGTAAGATAAAGTTAAAGATGATGTTTAATTTGTTGTGATTGAACCTATGCAATCCTCCGATGATAAAAACCACAAAAAAAAATCCTCCTGAAATTTAATAAGAGCCTTAGACTTGGCGACCTCTGCCGCCAATAAACTAAATATCAGGGGTAGATGTGCGACCAATTAGTACGATCAAAGAGCTACGATTGTTTGATACTATTACAAAATTATTGGATGAGAATGGATAAACTTCTTTTCTCAATTCTTATGTAATGGTAATTTCATCAGATTTTGCAGGACGGGGTTCCGCAAAAAAGTTTGGGTGAATCCAAACAATGAAAAAAGAATTTTGTTCAGACACCCACATAGACCAATGTTATACTTGCTCTGATCGAGAGCTTCAATACGTTTATATTAATATATGTATGCCTTATTGAATATTTAAGACATAGGTACTTTATTCTAATTTGTAGTCTCGTATGCTGCAGGTGTTTCATTTTTAAATTTATCAAGTCTAACAGGCATGCAGCATTACAAATTACCAGCATACATAATTAATTAATAAACGATTGAAATAATTCTGTTACTGAACCTGGAAATTTGTTCTAAAAGTTCGAAGCGATAGTACTAGTATTAATGTAAATACAAACTGTAGATATCTACCCAAAAAAAAGCAAAAAATTCAATTAAAAAAAAATTATTTAAATTTGGACCCATGAATAATGGCTCATATGAATAAAATAGAAGCAAATGATTTCACTTTTACTCAAGTTTTTTGAGATAAACATATTCAGCTTCAATGCAGCAAAAAGAGTCGAAGGTAGAGTAAAAGCATTTGCTACACTTTATTCATACGACTAAATAAGTACACAAATTAAACTCATAAATAAAAATTTTCTATACTCAGCTAAAAAAATTAAAGCAAACCCACCTCTTCTATATTCAATATTACATCCTTTTGGATCGGTTAGAATATCTCAAAATAACAATAAATTCGATAGGAAAATGAAAAAGGTAATTTTTCTATACGATCGTCGACTGAATTGTCGATTGATTGTCCAAATACATTGGAACATAGCACTTATTGAAAGCTGGTTCTGCAACAATCACAAACCAGTCAATTTGATTTTAGCTAATTTTAAAAACTCATGATAGAACTTAGTTTGGCTAGCACATGATTGTTGTAGGGATATTGTAAACCCTAATCGAATGAATATTTCTTTTGTAGGCAAAGACGTCCAAGTGGATTTCAAGACCTAAAAAGTGGATATTGCCAGATGGAACGTGGAACTCAAAGGAAAAGATGCAGATAAGAACGCCGTTACTACTAGAAATGGCCTATGTCAATTTAATGTGATGTCGTTTGGATTCTGTAATGCAACTGAGACTTTATAAAAAAAAATGATTTTGCGAAGATGTGCTTGGTGTACTTGGATGACGTCATCAAGACGAACACCTGTCTCACTTTAAGAAAGATTTCGTCAGGATACGAAGTGTCAACGCCAACCTACAATAATCGTTGCCATTATTGAATCCAAAGAATCCTGTCCTATTCCGGGAAAAAGCTATTTTTTTTTTTAACAATCCTTTATTCAAGCTTTTTTGTACATACATTTTACAAATAAATAGCATTTCATATTTTTCTTGCTTGAGTTACAGGTAATCTCCTAAACAGTGCAAGAAGCACTGGTATGTAAATTGAATATACCAGCACAACAGTATTCTGTGGAAATGACAAACAGATTGACTTAAAGTTCTGACGTAGGTATCTCATGGATGAAGCATGCATGGTTCGTGCCAGACACCAACGCAACGCCCTGGTTGGAAAATCAGAGATAAATTATTTGTCACCTGAAAGAAGCGTCTGGCAGTAGTAAGATCCCTTGAACATCACAGTTTTCTCTATGGACTGTTGATACAAGTTAGAACTAAAAATTCTTCCTTGCAGTGGCAACCTTATTTTGAAAATCCAGTACTTCTCTGGTTCTCCCTAGAAGAGAATTGGATGTAGATATCACAGATCCTTTTCCTACAGCAAAGTCGGGAAATAAATAAGTACTTCCTGGTTGCTACGTGAGCTAATTTTCAAAGTGGCCAGAAGTAGTACCATTTACCAGTCAAGAAATGGCCACAGTTGCTGAAGCATTACTGGAAAATATCATAGCCAGACACGAGGTACTGTCGGTATCAATACAACCTCATACCAATCAGTGGAAGAATTCGGAGTCTGAATTATGGAAACAACTGATGAGGTTGTTGGAAATAAGGAAAACGAAAACGATTCCATTTCATCCACAGTCGCGCGAAATGGTCCACAGAGACAATCGGACCAGCACTCCATATCTCTCGATGATTGTGGAAAAGCACCAGCATAACAGCGGGATATACTTCTTGTCCTTATAGAACGTCTCAGCTTGAATCGATCAGCTATACACACACCGTCAATATTGATAACTGGAAGAGAAATAAAGCTTCCCGTAGATCTAGGGTTTGGCAAACGATTGCACTTCTAGTTTTATGTGGCGGATCTCCAAGACAGACTCAGAGTGGTTCACGATTTCGCCAGGAATGGCCTACGTCTGAACGGTGACAGAAGAGATGAAACTCGTCGAACAGCAGTCATTAAACACCTTCAACGAAGACGTTGGTTGTATCAGCACATCAAAAGATGGTACTAAGACCGAAATTAGTATGACTATGGGAAGGACCGTAGATTGTCACAAAGATCAATGACTTGGTGTTCAGGATTCAACTTTCGTCGGAAGCCAAGCCAAAGGGTCTTGCCCCATAGAGGCAAGAATAAACTTACTTGGATGCGACCAGGGAAGGAAAGGGAGCACTGTTATAAAATAACAGAGATACCTCCCCTTTAAATCCATTTCTATTGATCAACCCCTATATGCCTAGTAAATGGAGCTCTCGAAGAAGGAGTTTGACCTTGATGGAATCGTAAAACCTAGCGAATTATCGAGCGGCCCTTATCAGAGATTTCTAGTAGAGAATTGTCGATAAAATTACGGATGGATTGAAACGGTATTTGAGCAGCCCGCGACGTCAATGCTAGGGGAGCTTTTGATATGGACAGTAAGGCGATCAGTTAGAATATTATAGTTTTGCGGAAAGTTAAGCTTAATTTTAGAAAGGGTTTTAGTAGTGCTCCAAGAAAATAACAGTTATTAGAAGGTGTTAGAGTATTACCTTATTTTGTATTGATAATTTTGACAGCTGATAAATAAATTTCAACCACAAAAGTGTTTATTTTTGTTTTTGATTTTCTGCTGATACCTATTTTTTGATGTTACCTACGGTAAAATGAAAAACTATTGTAAAAAACAAATTCTCTAAGTAAAATTACGTCATCGTCGAAAAGCGAAGAGCGAAACGTCAAAGTCGTTAAAAATGTCAGAAATATTGAAATAAGGGAAGTTTACTGCCTTCCACTAACCATACACAAATAAAGACGAGCAGTAACCTTATTAAGGAGATCCTTATTTTCAGACCCAAATGCGCATGCGTAAATGTCAAAATAAGACTAATTTAAATACTGCTTGTCCTTATTGCACGTCCAATAACTCTCTATTGACACCCCACTTATAGCCCTTAATTCACAGGTAGACGAGAGGTGTAAATACAAAAGTTGTTGAGATGCCCTATATTGGGCGTCGTCCAAGTCATACAAAATTTGACGTTTGTGACATACCTACAATTTTTTTTCTGAGGATGAATTTTAAAATCCCAAATAAAATTCAACACCTTTTTTTTCTTTCTGTAAAGGTAAAGGCTACATGTGGGGTGTCAATTATCAAGATAAAGTGGAAACCCTGTATGGGTATGTATAGGTATTATAAGTAGGTAGGTACATCTTTGAAAGACGGAAAGTAAAATGGAAACGCAGTACAAGCACTTGTGTGGCTGTATGCAGGCCACTCTTTCGCGGTCTTCTTGTTTGAAGAGCTTTTTTAGATTAATACAAGCAGATCCGCATCAATTAGACTATGCGGCGATATTATTTTCATATGTATCTGGTTTTACTGATTTTTACTGTAATTTAAAACCAACGCAGAACATATTTTGCCCAAGATAAAAACTTATCATTTGAGTTTAATTGATTTTTATGTTCAACACTACGGACTTTTTCAGTTATGTTGTATTATTTTTCTAAAACATTACAACATTGAGGTAACCGATCACCGATCTTTATAAATGCATATAAATTACTTTTTTTTTGCTCAAACAATGAATATTTCTAGATGAATTGACTACTGTCCATTAGCTGGGGGTAAAATTTAAAAGCGAGAACAAGAGGAAACATAAATATAAATTACCGTTTAGATGTTTGAGATCAGATAATTCAGTTCGAAGGGGTTCCCTATAAATAAGCGGATCGCCTCCAGAAAAGTCAGCAACTGTCGCTGTAAATAAATGTCCATTGGTATAGATGGCCGTACTATTGTGTTCTGGGTCGTAGGGACAAACTCCAATACCCTCAGATTCTTTTTCCACTAGGTAGTTGCCATTCTGAAAAAAAAAAAACATTTTTTATTGGTATACTTAGCATAAAATAGCACTAATAGAATTCATGCATGAACAATATATACTTTTTTTCTGACTGCCAATTCCACAATAAAAATAAAGAATGACGCAGGTTGAAGTTAAATGCATCTTTTGTTTGGCATGTGTTACAGGAATTAAATTAACGCAAAATTAAATGCAAGTGATGTGATTTTACTCCCGGAAAAATAGATGCCTGCAGTTAAAAATGTTATTTTCTTGTGGGACAAAACAAAAATATTGTGATCTACCTCCATATCAACCACAAAAAGCAAAGATTATTACATTTTGGTCCGAAAATTTGAAACTTTATTTTCAGCACAAAAAGCTATACAATTAATGGTTATTTATTCATAATTATTTTGTTTTGGAAAGTCAATAATTTTACAGTTAAACTTTGGTTAAATACTAAAAATGATAATTTTTTAATGCATCTCATAATACACTGACACATTGAAATAAATAGAAATTTGGATATTTCTTTAGGAAATAAAAAAAAAAACACACAAACAAATGTTCCTTATGTAAGTTTTAGTATTACCTAATAAGGTATAAAATAATATGACCATATAATATACAAAAAGCCCAGGTAAATATTTTACCTATGCATTCGTGAGTGAGATTTGTATTTCAACTGCAACAAAGTGCGGTTTATTTATTTTTTAATGGTTTTAAAATTACATGGAATGTAAAACAAGGCTGCGAAGTATTTAGGCTTAGGCATGAACTTACTTGAGGTTTTATGTTTTGTCTAGCCGTGACTTATGCGGTACTGAGGCATTAATATTGGCCTGAAATTATACACCTATGACTATATGTATGTATTGTTTGTGTACTTCACTCATTATTGGGAAATATATGTGTGTTGAAAGCATTATGTTAAATTATTTTGAAATTATAGAACCCCTTATTTTAGAAAAAAAAAACAATCTCATAGTACAGTACCTACATGTCAAATTGTTTATTATAAGTGTAGAAAATGTATTATCAACTGACTCAAGAAAATATAATTAAATTCTCACAATGGGCCTTCCGAAAATTCATCTGGTTATTATGTTTGCATTAGTAGAAAAAGATTTTAAAACAAGTTGCAAGTTGCAAGCTGCATGCACATAATAATAATACGAACCTCTGAAATGTTTTGTTTCTTCAGAAGTGTGATCAGCGTACATAATATAGTAATTATAATAAAAGGAACCAATATCGTGCAAGTCTTGTGATGGCCTTGCAAATTTAAATTATTGGTCTAATTAATTTTTTGCTATAGTGCCAAATAAGGTTGTACAGCATATAGAAATAAACACATATAACGCATTTCTAAAAGCAAAACACCATGCCCAAGTTGTTTAATGCAGTTGGTACTAAAGAAACAATAGGTAATTATTTAGATAGTATCTAAGTGTCTTTAGTTTGGCAGTAGGCAAAGTTCGTTACTTTTATCTATAGCAATTCTTTCTTGTCCATCTCAGTAATATTCAATCAACGGTAATATGCAGTCAAGCGATCTTGCATATTGAAGGCTTTTATATATAGTTTTATTCATGTTTATCGGCTTTAATATTTAATTTAAATTATTTATATAACCTTCTTATCTTAAGCAACGGAATTCTTCGAATTGTATCACTAGGTATTCTGCGTATTTCCACATTATCAACATGACTTGATCCCACCAATTTATGCTGATTCAAGTAAACTGGGACATTTACCTAAAAACTATATCTGCGAGCGGCATATTCCAAAAACTATTTAATATCTTTGTTTTCTCCAATTTGCAAGTTCAAGTAAATATGATTTTTTTTCTGCTTACTCAAGGACCTCTAAATACATGATTCTATATTGAAATATTGGATGGAGATTCATGCATTATAATCTAACTCTAGTAAAGTCAGAGTTTACACGAACAAAGTGTTTCGTATCGGACCGTAAACGAATACCTATAATCATTTACTTTAAATGAGACGGCGTAAACAAAATTTTCAATCATAAACAATGTGTGAGTGGTCTATAATTTGAACTTTATTGTCGTCAACACTTGATCCATTGACCATTATGTACCCAGGACTGGAAAGATTTTTTATCTAAGGGCGAATTTCTTTTTCCCACTGGATGGCAGCGTCAACGACCAAGTTCGGAAATCACCTCCAAGGGCATAATTTATTCATATGTTCCACTCACTAGTCTGATCGCTATACATTTTTTGTTCCAATATTTTGGATTAAATTATTGCACAAATAAGTAAAGTATGAGCATAAATAAATATGGATAATCAAGTTCATGTATCTGCTTGTTTACACGAGCGTCCATGTTCCGAGCAGTGAAATGTGTTCCGATTGACCTAATATGAATTTGACATTTGTAGTGAACAAATTTGGCATACCTACGTTATAAATTATAATGGAAGCCTTTTATTTTTCCGAAAATTGAAAAAAAACGCAGTGATCAACTTGTGAACGGAAATATTGCAATCTCTTGAAGATAAAAAGTTGTATGCTATTCGGCCCCCAGGATCTTTTTGTGCTCTGCTCAATTCAAACCTTGAGCTCAGCACAAAATGATCTACTACTTGGCCTAATGACAAAAATAACTTTTATCTTCGAGCGGTTTATAATTTGAAATCTATCATTGTCAACACTTGAACCAGAAGTGATCCATTATGTAGGTACCTAGGACTGATTTTTATCTATGCGGGGTGACTTGTCATTTTCTCGCTAAAGGCAGCAGCGTCAACGACCGAGTTCGGGAATTAGCTCCAAGAGCATAATTTATTCCTATTTTACACTAATTTGTTCATTTTACATTTTTTGTTCAATATTATGGGATAAATTATTGCATAAATGAATTACGAGCATAAATAAAAACGGATAATCAAGTTGATGTATCTGCTCGTTTGCACAAGCGTCTATGTTAGGAGCAGTGAAATGGGTTCCGAGTGACCTTAAATTGATTTGACATTAAAAGTGAACAAATGTGACATACGTCGTAAATTTTTAGTAGCAGCTTTTCCTTTTTCCGAAAATGAACGAAAAAAACAGTTAAGTTCTGAAAGGACAATACATATTGCAATCCCTTGAAGATAAGATGTTGATGGCCATTTGGCCCTGAAGGTCTGTTGAGCTCAACACAAAAAGACCAATTGGCGGTGAAATCTACAGGGCGACTCAAATATAAATATAAAAAAAGAAATTTCGCAAAATGGTTTCATTTGAAGAGACATTTCACAATAAGTTCACTTTATCAGGACAACCTTTTCTCCTCAATAACGCAGCCAAGTTTGAAACTCGACGCAACTACGCAACACGCAAACTACGCGCAGAAATCTCTAGAACTCAATGGAAACGAACTCCGGCCGTACACTGTGACGTCGGCTCTTCCCCACAATGTATATTTTCTTGACAATAATATGGTATTGGGTAAATACGAAGGTAAATATGACATAAATACCCAATTTACATAACTATATAGAACTACATATTATTTTGGTGTCAACTTTAAATATGTAGGTACATACATACATAGGTCTATAAAGTAAGGCTGCATGTAATGTTACCATATACCTAGTGCTTCAAAATTCACATTTAAAGACCAAAAAAACTATTCATTATTAAACACTTATTTATAGGCTAGGATCAAAAAGAAGTAATTTCAGGAATCTTCTACCATGCAAGTATTAGGTACCATCAATCAAGTTACCATCAATTCAAGTAATGACTGACTCATCAATTTGAACAACGTATGGCCAGGTCCACCTCAGACAAACCCGTTTATTGACTTTGTTTCTGCTGGAACAGTTAATGGACAAATAGAAGGACCTTTATAATTGTATTTGAAAAAAAAATTAAATGGGTTATACAGTGTCCCCCATAATGTTCGCTACATATGGGGAAATTTTTTATTTGAAGGATATGTATTTTTTCTTATGTGCGATCGATCCTGCAGGTCCGATAACTTAAAAGTACATTTTGACATTGGTCACGTGATCACTGCTGTGGCGGCAAATTCGAAAATTTAGATATGGAAACGCGAAAAGTGGCGTTAGATGGCAAAATTTCGGAAAAAGTGATTAGAACGATGTTTTAGGGCTGTCTGCGAAATTTGGAGGAGAATCAACAAAAAACAGTAAATTACTTCTTTTCCGCCGTGGATCTCTTATCAAATAATATTATACAGTTTTTATTATTGAAATAGTCTAAGTACCTCAAAATTTAATTGGATTGATAAAACAAACTTAAATTCTTCATTGAAATCTTCCTAAATAATTGAATAAAAATGATCGATTAGCACATGAAACTTCTCTGTAGCAATACCCTGTATCTTGACAGTTAAGTGAGGTGTTTTAGAACTGTATTGAAATATTTAATAAAAAATTTCAATAAGGGTTCTTTTCAATTGTTGTATCAACAGTAAGTTATTGGAAATCTCAGAAACTGTCAAGATAGAGGCTATTGCTACAGAAAAGTTCCATGTGCTAGTCGAATACTTTTATTTAATCCTCTAGGAATCATTCGAATGAAGAATGTAAGTTTGTTTTACCACTACACATTAAATATTGAGGTACTTGGACTATTTCAATAAAAAAAATTGTATAATATTATTTGATAAGAGATCTATGGCGAAAAGCAAGTAATTTCCTATTTTTTGTTGGTTTTCCTCCAAATTTCACAGACAGTCCTAAAACATTGTTCTAATCACTTTTTTCAAATAATTTTTTCCAAAATTTTGCCATCTAACCCCACTTTTCGCGTTTCCATATCTAAATTTTCGAATTTGCCGCCACAATAGTGATCACGAGACCAATGTCAAAATGTGTTTTTAGGTTATCGGACATGCAGGATCGATCGCACATAAAAAAAAATTCCATATACTACAAATGAAAAAGATTCCCATATGTAGCGAACATTATGGGGGACACTGTATATCATTGATGGTACTTTTCATGCATTAAAAAATCGCCAAAGGCATGACATATT